TATTTCTAACTTTAAACACAGCATGAATTATTATATATACCGTCATAACAGTAAATTCAGAATCTATTGAATGTCCATTATTATTGTTATCGTCATATAAGTGATTCCAATTTGAATTCCAGTGACCACTGGCTAGGTATTTCAGTGGAAATACCACTGGATTCCACTGGGCAATTTGGCCACAAATTGTAGGTCAAATTGCTTGTTGAATCCAGTGGTATTTCCTCTGGTATCCAAGTGGAATTCCATTGTTTATTTTCATATGGTATTAGACTTTCATGAACTTTCATGAAAGTTCATGAAATGTGGTAATTTTGTATGTTCATGAATGTTCATGAATATTTCAAGCATTTTCAATTCATGAACTTAAAATGGGACGTTTTCTTCATGAACATTCATGAACATTCATGAATTGTTGCCATTTTTCATGAATGTTCATGAATTCATATATTCATGAATATTCATGATTTTATATTCATGAAAGTTCATGATTTTACATTCATGAATATTCATGAATTTATATTCATGATTTTCACATGCTTTCATGATTCATGAATTTTCATGAATATATTTTGCTCAAGATTATTCATGAAGTTTTAAGTTCATGAATTTCATGAAAATATTCATGAACAAATCAAGAACATTCATGAATATTATTCATGAATATTTCATGAACTGTTCATGAATTTTCATGAATTATTCATAATCATTTCGCAGGGGTTGTTCTTACCTCCATTTATTACTGAAACATTCATTCCATCCGTGTGAAGGCATCTACTTAGATCCAAAATCAAATGAAACATTTCACATGTGTCGTATGCATTTACACAAAACTCTTCACAAATCACCGATTTTGTCTATAAGCACAGATTGGTATGCATACTGACATGGAAATGTAAGAACTTGGTCAATATTAATCCAAATGTGTCTTATAAACTTTGGTAACAGGACGTTTACGAACAATCCAAATATTCCGCCTCGTCAACATACAGATCGAGCGCTCGCCAGTATGTAAATGTAGACAGTATAGACACGACATTAAAACTAACATTCCTTGTGAATTTTAATGTTGTGTCTATACTGGTGATAAGAACATGAAATTTGGTTTAAACTCTCGACCTATCTGTCTCGAGTTCAAACCCAAATTTCATGTTCTAATCGCCAGGATAGCCACTCAAAAAACGTACTATCCTCTAACTAGAGCATCAATGACTACATCAAACACATTCCTAGATATAGAGATTGTGTAAAATAATAAATAGTCAAATGCTATAAGGTCAGAAAGAAAGTGATTTTTTTAATATTGTCAATTTTACATAACTTTAATTCTTTTTGAGCAGAAAATCCTTTCAAAATCCTTTTCAAAAGCGTTTAATAAATACTTATTTTAAAAAAAATTGAACAAATGTGTTCATTAATCAATTTGAAACCTTTAAAAACTGTATTTTAACAAATTTTTATGATGATGTATAAAAAAAGCAGAAATAAATATTGAATTTAATTGCAAATTTCTCATTGAAATAATTGATTAGAAACATTTTTGGAATTTTATTTCATTTTGGGTGGCAAATATAAACAATTATCATATCTTCTTCTTTTGTCATTTTAGAGCTTACTTCAAGACAAAAATATTGTTTCTACAATTTGTTATAGAATTTCAAACCTAAATCTGAGGTTAACTAACAATATCCCCACTTAACACCCATACCCTAATGTTGCCACATGCAATGCCTTGATTTCTCTCTTTCCATTTAATTTCATGACACTATGTTGATACAAAGGACAATGTCCATTCCAACGAGCAGGGTGCAAATACTCACCATATCAGCCATTTGCTGGAAGAATTCCTCTGATTCCCCATTCTGACGAGACAGAAGGTCGGAAAACAGTGCCTGATTGATGACCTCATCACTTGCCTCCTCCTTCTGGTCACCTGTTAGTCGCTCACGACAAAGCTCTCGTTTGACCACCAAAGCTTCCATAAACAAACGCCAGTGCTCCTTCTGTTGATCTGTCAACACAATTCTTGACCATGAACTTATAAATCTATATAATTCATTGGCCATGACTTAAAACATAAAAGCTTTTTACTCATTGCCTATGCCCGCTTGTGACATTAAAACTCTCGTCTTTGGCATATGAAATCTCTTTGTAGTCTAGACTCTTGTCACCAAATCTGGATACTTTGTTTTCTACATACTTACCCATTTATTATGGAAAACGATTTTCAAAACATAATTTGTAACTTATCTGAATACTTTTTGTGAAAACCAGGCTCTCTAGACTTAAGCTGTTGAAGACATTATGTTGTTCCCTTGTATTATCTAATTAGTGAAATGTGATTGCAAAGCACGCCAAGGTACATCATCAAATAATGATACATCCTAATATGAAATTTCTTCAAAAAATTAAATTCAGCCGATCAGAACTGATGATGTTTCTTAGGTGTGATAAAGAATTACAGTACAGGAGTTTTAGCTTTGGCTTTTGTGTGCGACCTTGACCTTAAGTTATGGATACGAGAGATGAACACATGGGTCAATTATGACATATACATCAAAATATCAGCCATGCAAATGCTATGGCCAATACAGCCATTACACTTATTTGAACTTTGACTGCTTACTGTGACCTTGACTTTGAAAGTATAATCCTATGAGTATCATGCCATAAACCATTCTCCCCTACTAGACCCATATGGTGTGGACAATATTAAGAAATGAACAAACATATAAGCATGGCACAATCATACTCTTTCCCACTCTACTTTTTACATAAATAAAGTCAAAGAAATCAACCTCATGACAACTTGGCGTCAATCTTTGAGACTCTGCTCTTCAATACCTTTGAGACTCTGCTCTACGATACCTACCTAGTGGTGTAGCTTCCCTCTTGGCTAACAGCTGAGCCAGTCTTTCCTTCCTTTGCTGCTGCGATAAGACAATCACTTCATCAAGAATTTCTTGGTTAGCGTTCTCCATTAGCAGACGGTGAAAGAGACCATGTTCATCTCTATGTTTCCTTTCCAGCATCTGTATCATGTTGTCCTAGTGACAAAAGGAATTTTTAATTTATGATACATGTCTGTTACAAAAAGTGGATGAATATATGTAGAATGCTTAAGAGCAGTGTCAAAGTGTAGTTTCAGAAACAAGATATCCCAGAGGGATCTTGGCGCCCACCTTTGTACCATCTTCATTAGTTCTTTGTCAGTTCGATCTTTTCTCTTTCCTCTAATCTGTTTGATCGCGTCATGTTAACAGTAAATGCACCTTGAGGTAACTTTTTATCTAAACTTAATACTGATGTGTATGAAAGCCAACCTTCAAAGTGAGTTTGTCATTTCACATATTTACTAGTACAGTACTTAATGTGAAAGAAATAGAATCGATCATTGCAATATGAGAAAGATCTGTTTAGTTCTTCTTTTAATCCATTTTGTTTTTATGATCAGTCTCAAAATATAACATACACAACGAGGGATCAAGGGGAACCTACATTTAAAATTTGAGAAAGATCCCTCCCGTACTTCCCGAGAAATAGCGATAACAAACTTTCACTATCAAAATCCAAGATGGCTGCCTGTCGGCCATGTTGTTTATCCGATCAGTCTCAAAAGTTGCCCTGCACAGCTAAGGACCAAGGGGAACCTACATATAAAATTTGAGAAAGATCCCTCTGGTACTTCTTGAAAAATAGCGATAACAAACTTTCACTATCAAAATCCAAGATGGCTGCCTGTCGGCCATGTTATTTATCCGATCAGTCTTAAAAGTTGCCCTGCACAGCTAAGTACTAAGGGGAACCTGTCGGCCAAGTTTGTTTATCTGATCAGTCTCAAAAAATGCCTGCACAGCTTTGGACCAAGGGGAACCTACATATAAAATTTGAGAAAGATCCCTCTGGTTCCTCTTGAGAAATAGCGATAACAAACTTTCACTATCAAAATCCAAGATGGCTGCCTGTCGGCCATGTTGTTTATCCGATCAGTCTCAAAAGTTGCCCTGCACAGCTAAGGACCAAGGGGAACCTACATATAAAATTTGAGAAAGATCCCTCTGGTACTTCTTGAGAAATAGCGATAACAAACTTTCACTATCAAAATCCAAGATGGCTGCCTGTCGGCCATGTTGTTTATCAGATCAGTCCCTGCACATATAATAACCAAGGGGAACCTACATATAAAATTTTAAAAAAATCCCTCAAGTAGTTCCCGAGAAATAGCGATAACAAACTTTCACTATCAAAATCCAAGATGGCTGCCTGTCGGCCATGTTATTTATCCGATCAGTCTTAAAAGTTGCCCTGCACAGCTAAGTACTAAGGGGAACCTGTCGGCCAAGTTTGTTTATCTGATCAGTCTCAAAAAATGCCTGCACAGCTTTGGACCAAGGGGACCCTACATATAAAATTTGAGAAAGATCCCTCTGGTTCCTCTTGAGAAATAGCGATAACAAACTTTCAAAATCCAAGATGGCTGCCTGTTGGCCATGTTGTTTATCCGATCAGTCTCAAAAGTTGCCCTGCACAGCTAAGGACCAAGGGGAACCTACATATAAAATTTGAGAAAGATCCCTCTGGTTCCTCTTTGAGAATTGGCAAAAACAAACTTTCACTATCAAAATCCAAGATGGCTGCCTGTGGGCCATGATGTTTATCCGATCAGTCTCAAAAGTTGCCCTGCACAGCTGAAGATCAAGGGGAACCTATATATAAAATTTGAGAAAGATCCCTCTGGTACTTCTTGAGAAATAGTGATAACAAACTTTCACTACAAAATCCAAGATGGCTGCCTGTCGGCCATGTTGTTTATCCGATCAGTCTCAAAAAATGCCTGCACAGCTTTGGACCAAGGGGAACCTACATATAAAATTTGTGAAAGATCCCTCTGGTACTTCTTGAGAAATACTTATAACAAGAATTGTTTAAGGATGGAGGACGGACGACGGACGCAGGGTGATTTGAATAGCCCACCATCAGATGATGGTGGGCTAAAAAGTTGTAAACAACCGATTTTGTTATGAAATGAATATTTTTTACCAGCAAATTCTAGTCTAAACTCAACATTCTGCATATAGTTGCTTACAGTTTGATCACAATATCTGTTGTATTTGACCTTGGACACAAAAGCTGTTGTATTTGACCTTGAATGCAAAAGTTGTTGTATTTAACCTTGGGCACTATAGCTGTTGTATTTGACTTCCGACACTATAGCCGTTGTATTTGACGTTGGACACAATAGCTGTTGTAGTTGACTTTGTTGCAAAAGCTGTTGTATTTGACCTTGGACACTATATATGTTGTAGTTGACCTTGAACACTAAAGCTGATGTATTTGACTTTGTCACAAAAGTTGTTGTATTTGACGGACACTATAGCTGTTGTATTTGACCTTGGACACAATAGCTGTTGTACTTGACCTTGAATGCAAAAGTTATTGTATTTGACCTTGGACACAATGGTAGTTGTATCTGACTTTGTCGCAAAAGCTGTTGTATTTGACCTTGGACACTATAGCTGTTGTTTTTGACCTTGGACACAATAGCTGTTGTATTTTAACTTGAATGCAAAAGCTGTTGTATTTGACCTTGGACACAATAGCTGCTGTATTTGACTTTGTCGCAAAAGCTGTTGTATTTGACCTTGGACACTATAGATGTTGTATTTGACTTTGGACACTAAAGCTGTTGTATTTGACTTTGTTGCAAAAGTTGTTGTATTTGATCTTGGACACTATAGCGGTTGTATTTGACCTTGGACACTAAAGCTGTTGTATTTGACCTTTGAAACTTTGACCTTGGACACTAAAGCTGTTGTATTTAACCTTGAACACTATAGTATGAACTCTGGAGAGTACATAAAGCTTACAGATTTGACCTCTATAACCAACGATCAATCACCTGCAGTTGTTGTGAGTGTAACGTACAATTCTAATCCTAACACACGTTTATGGGTACAAGCTACAACGGCAAGTGATGTTATGTCCCCTGAGACTGGTACATGTTATTCTACATTTGACCTTGGACACAACACCTGTTGTAGTTGACTTTGTCGCAAAAGCTGTTGTATTTGACCTTGGACACTATATATGTTGTAGTTGACCTTGAACACTAAAGCTGATGTATTTGACTTTGTCGAAAAAGTTGTTGTATTTGACCTTGGACACTATAGCTGTTGTATTTGACCTTGGACACAATAGCTGTTGTACTTGACCTTGAATGCAAAAGTTGTTGTATTTGACCTTGGACACAATGGTAGTTGTATCTGACTTTGTCGCAAAAGCTGTTGTATTTGACCTTGGACACTATAGCTGTTGTTTTTGACCTTGGACACAATAGCTGTTGTATTTGACCTTGAATGCAAAAGCTGTTGTATTTGACCTTGGACACAATAGCTGCTGTATTTGACTTTGTCGCAAAAGCTGTTGTATTTGACCTTGGACACTATAGATGTTGTATTTGACTTTGGACACTAAAGCTGTTGTATTTGACTTTGTTGCAAAAGTTGTTGTATTTGATCTTGGACACTATAGCGGTTGTATTTGACCTTGGACACTAAAGCTGTTGTATTTGACCTTTGAAACTTTGACCTTGGACACTAAAGCTGTTGTATTTGACCTTGAACACTATATCTTTAGTATTCGACCTTGTGTTGTATTTGACCTTGAACACTAAAGCTGTTGTACTTGACCTTGGACACTATTTTTTGTATTTGACCTTGGACACTTAAGCTGTTGTATTTGACCTTGAACACTTAAGCTGTTTTATTTGACCTTGGAACCAATTGCTGTTTTGATTGACCTTGGATACAATAGCTGATTTATTTGACCTTGAAAACAAAAGCTGTCATATTTGACCTTGGACACAATAGCTGTTTTATTTGACCTTGAAAACAAAAGCTGTCGTATTTGACCTTGGACACAAAAGCTGTTGTATTTGACCTACCATTTGTGACACCTTTTTATTGCTTTTGTTGATTTCATCTTTTTGCTCTGGTGGTTTCTTCTGACCCAAAGACAAAACCTTCATCTGGTGATTGGCTAGTCTACTGTAGCGGTCCCTATCTCCAGACAACCTAGAACATACATAGTTCAACAGGAAAATATAACAATTATCATACAAAAATGTAAAATGTGATTATCTGTATGTTACTTCTAAATAGCAATCTAAACTAAAAACTGCAATTATATATAAATATGTAAAAAATCCCCATAAAACCTATATTTTATCTCCCTTTAATAACCTTTTGAAATTTCCTTTTAGAAAGAACATGAGATATATGGATATTTGACTCTGAGTAGGAAAATATATGCCTTTTGAGATTCTGTTTACTATTATTTATTTACTGTTAACTGGAAAATTTTCGCTTCACATTAAGTTTTGCCTTTTTCACCCTCCGGAATAATGGCGAATTTATCATGACAGCAAATGTTGAAAGGCTAATATTTTAATATGTGAAAGTTTCCTAGTACGGTATACAGTAATGGTATCTATACAAACTGTGAAAGTCTCTGCAATCTCCCTTACCATGGTTTCCCATGAGGGTTCTGTCTCTCTGCCAGGCCTACCAAGATGGCAGCAAAAGAGAAGCTGTTGTCACGGCAACCGAGCAGGTATTCTCTTTGAAGTCTCACTATATGTAGTTCCTGATCCCTCTCCTCCATACCTATAAAAACAATAGGACAACAACTTCAACCATTTATATGATTGTTCTTATTAATCTATAAGCTTACAGAATGTCTGTCCCACAGCAGGTAAATCACTTGAGACTTCTACTGTAGTTACGGTAGCCTCTCATTAATTTTGTTTTGAATATAATATTAATGTAGTTCAACTGGGCCAGAGTACTACAGTTGACATTATATAAGTAGTTTCCTATTAGAAATGTGCAAAATTGATTCACAGACTATCCTACATTAGATATTTTCTTACCATACTCTATGAAAATAGATGCTGATTTTTTGTTGTTGACTTTTCGCAAAAGAAAATATATTTAAAAAAAATCAACATATAGAATAATACGGGTATACTGTATATAAATTCTGTTCTATAGAGAGATTGGCCCTAAATGACTTACATTGTCGATGGGCCGTTAAACAATACAAATGAAACTACAGAGAGAAAATGAAGAATTAATTCATCCATTTTACTAACACTGGATTACAGATATTTTTGCATAATAGATGTTGTGTTGTATTTTTAAAATTGTGCCTTAATTTTGTGCCTAATCAATAAAGTAAAATATCATTAAAAAAATATTTCATCAGCCTTTTTTATTTTGAAAACATTTTTTATCTTAACATCTTATACTATTTGTTAAGCAATTAAACGTTTTACAGGTTTAAACAGATTAGCAACTACATGTAGTTACTGCCACAGAAGCAGATGTCATCAGATATAAACTAGAGAGACTGTGAGCAAGATCACAAGATATAACTCCCCACTTGTGCTTTTAATGTGTTTGGAGCAGAAATTAAAGTTTCAAGGGCCTAACTCCAGGAAAAAAATTGTCCCATCAATAAATTTCTTTCTTCGTGCACATTTTTTTTTACCTCATTTAACAATACTGAAATCTGAAATTTTTAAAAACACCTTTTCAGGTGTACTAATGCAAGTTCTAATGTCAGTTTATAAGGTTATTTATTTGATGATAACTGTGTTATATCCAAGAAATCTAAAAGTTAAATATTACTACTCTGGCTATAATGACCTTTGCAAGAAATTACATGTATTTGAAATATTTTACACATTTGACCCCTGTGACCAAGAAAGTAGACAAGGTCATTTGTTTGGACAAATTTGACAGTCATTTAAAACAAGCTACATGTAAAAGTCGAGAGAGCTATCAACTATATGCCAGTACCGGACCACTAACATACTTATACATAGTCTTTCTCATCATGTTATGCCAGGCCTGTAACTTTGAACATTAGTCAAGGTCATTGATTTGAACAACTTAGGGAGCCTTTAACCTTAGCATGGAACAGACCAAATATCATAATGCTATAGTACTCTTGTTATTCAGAAGATGTCAGAATATTTTGATACATTTGACACATAGGAGGACCTTATTTGTAAGTGAGTCAAAGTCATTCAACTAAATAAGCTTGATAGCTTTTTACCCTATAGTAAGCTACAGGACACATATCATGAACCAACGGTTCTTAATAATTCATATGAACTTTAATTCAAAAATTTAACAACTTAATAGCTGCTTATGATATTGTAAATATCATCACCCTATATACCTCTTAGTTTGCCCAGAAGAAATCATCTTTTAGACATGAGATCCTAGGAGAATCTTGGCACCCACTATGAAAGGAACTTTGTCAGATATACAAAAGATAATCTTGTACCTTTTTTGCTCTTCATTTCCCTTAGAGGTATCATTACCCAGTCCCATGTTGGAAATCCTAGACAGGAATCTTGCACACTAACTTAAACCTCGTAAAGTCATATGTTATTTGCCACTATGACAAATGTTATTGTATAGGAATTGCTTAACTGTGCAAAAACCTAAAAACTTGTAATTGAAAATTCAATCAGACTTTCTTAAGGCTGGATGGAAAAATGGTGATTTGAACAGCCGACCATCTGATGATGGTGGGCTAAAATGCAATATGACAGACAAAAGATGCTGCATCATTGCACATGCTCACAGGAATTTTATTCCAGGTGGGCAATTTAAAAAGCAGACCTTATGCTTGGAGCCTTGTTAGCTTATGACAGGATTAATAGTAAAGTAAAAATCTAAATCAACGATGTCATTTTCAGAACGGCAAAATTAATCCTTTGTTTATGAGAAAATGTGTTCAAAATTTGACATACTGGTAACTAATTAGGGATGGTGTTGTTGTTGTTTCTTTTTTTGGATGGGTTTGGGGATGTAAAATCTGAAAGACTTACTGAGAACAGAGCAAAATGGGCCCATGTTTATTGCCTGTATTTGGAAGGAATGCTTAAGTAGTACCTCAGGCACAAGGAACACAAGCTGATATTGAATTTTCACTTTGAATTTAATTTAGTTAAAAGTGGTTAAATTAAGTGAGAAAAATTGTAGTCAAGTTATTGCAGTAGATATGCTTTTATTGGACTAAAGCCAAAATATAGAGAGAAATTTAAAGATTTGACAGATACATGTGTATAACAGTTGAATAGGTAAAAGGAGAGGTGTTTAAATACATGTTTTTCTGAAGTTCAGTTAGGCAGTATCTTTGTAGTGTCCTATAACAAGGAGAAGGAGTCAAAAGCGGGCACCATCTATCATTGAAGGAAATAATTCTTTTATGGAAAATTGAAACAGAAATGATCAATGAAACCTGAAGAATAATTCATGTGAAGCAATTCATAGGAACAGAGATACAGGATAGCAAAATCGATCTAAATCATCAAGAAGAATCTTATGTTTCATAATGGTATCTAAGTGTAAGTGTGTCATATTCATTGTCGGTCTCCTCGCCAACACCTTTGACCTCATCTGTGATTGGCTGTTATACTTTGACATCAGTGGATTACAAGAAGGACTTGTCTTTGGTCCATTCAAAGATGCAGTATCGACATCCCTCCTTGTCTTTTCAGGCATTGGAAGTTTGATTTACATCATAGACCTGGCTTTGAATATTGTAGATGTAGCAAAGGAGGATTATCTCCCCTTGTGGTTGCTTGACACTGTGAATTTGACCTCTATATGGATGGAGAATGTACCTCAGATTATTGTGAATGTGTATATTGCAGGATGTCGTGAGAATTCTGTTAGTATTCTCCAACTGGCCAAGGCTTTAGCAGCCATAGTGAAAGTTCTCACCATTATAGGATTGGCCATTGCTAACCAATCTTACAACAAGGCAAAAGGAAAAGTCTACGGAAAGGCATATTTACTGAAAATTCCCATTGGAATAGGGCTTTCTGTTGTACTGGTTGGTTCTCTACTTATACTTGGTTTGACTCATTTTTTCCTTGACTCAAGAAATGTTGTACAGTTCTCCAGTCCAAGAAGTTTCAATGGTTTGGAATATGACACAGAAAAATACTTCAATGGTGCAGGGGTTTATTTGAACTTTGACCCTAGTGAACCAGTGAGTATGAACTCTGGAGAGTACATAAAGCTTACAGATTTGACCTCTATAACCAACGATCAATCACCTGCAGTTGTTGTGAGTGTAACGTACAATTCTAATCCTAACACACGTTTATGGGTACAAGCTACAACGGCAAGTGATGTTATGTCCCCTGAGACTGGTACATGTTATTCTACAGCAGCAAATCCCTTCTCAATAGTGACCAGCTGTACCGCAGACTTGCCCCTAATCCCTTCCATCACCTCTGTTGTTTTCAAATTCATGTACCAGGCTCCTAGCAACCGAATGCCACTTGGGGATGTGTCGTACAGCTATAGGATCCTAACGTATACCCCCAGTGGTGACTGTGTCAACAGTACCTCATCACCTTCACTGTCCTTGAACTACTTCAAGGTCATTTCAGCTGCCAACACTGACCCTTTGGCGACCTTGTCAGCTACAACTGCTAAATTCTACAGCACTGGAAGTAAGCTACAGGATATATCAGAGGCCTGGAAGAGCGGGAAGTTTGGCTGTAAACCTACAGGAAGGGCCTCTCCTCGACTGGACACCTCCACCAGTGTACCCTGTTTAACATGGGGTACAGCTATTCCCTAAATCTGATGGTCAAATACATTGTGAAAAACTTACACCTCCAAAACACATGTTTTTCTGTGTAAGGACAAATTAAAATAAATACTGGACTGTTGATATTTTATTTAGCAATTTGATTTCACAAGACTTAGGAGATAATAAATTCTATCTTGGGTGTAGAGTTTGGTATCAGAACCTCGGCTGCACTTCAGAAAGCCTCGAGTTTGGTTATGACTTAAATTCTACACATTTGGGTAAAAATTCCTTCAACAGTCTTGATCTAACTAGATGAAGACAGCTCACATGTGCTTTTATTCTGAAAATGTCACCCCTTCGCCACAGGAATGCATCCTCTCTTGCTTGGTTTGGTTTATTTGTGTTTTACGTCCTATTAACAGCTATGGTCATTTTAGGAACGTACCAAGTTTTGATGTTGGAGGAAAGCCAGGGTACTCAGAGAAAATCTTGCGGCCATACCTGGCCCACTGCCCCATGAAGGCCTCAAACTTGTGACACAGTAGTTGGGGGCTAGTGATTGTAGATGGTCAGATGCTTAACCACTTGACCACACTATGGCCCCCTTCACGTTATTACCATATGGTAGTAGGATAATGTCATTTACATTGTCACACATTTTGTTAACCATAAACAATGGCAAAACCACATGGTGAACCTCAGAAATATCACCATCAGGTTGACATTTCTCTGTCTCTATCACACAGGGGTCATACATTCTACTGTAGTGTATTAAACTGTCAAATATGGAATGGATCTGTCAAAATGTCTTGACTTCCAATCATAACGACTTTGACCATAAAATCAAGGACCAAGGCCTGAACAGCCAATTGCAAGTAAATGGAATATTACAGAGGACCCTCTGTCTGAATGTCCAAGTGATAGTATCGCTTCACTTGTTTTATATATCGAATGAATGTAATGATCAATGTACAGAAACTAATATCGTTAAATGAAGCTACCCTACTTTAGCGATACATTAAAAGGTAAAGACGAATCC